AGGGAGGGAGGGAGGAGTGCAGGGAGGGAAGGGAAGATGGAAAGAAGGGAAGAAGGAGGGAAGGAAGGGGAGGGAGGAAGGAAGGAAAGAAGGAGGAATGCAGGGAGGGAAGAGAAGGGAAGATGGAAGAGAGGGAGGAAGAGAAGGAAAGAGAAGGGAAAGGAAGATGGAAAGAAGGAAGGAAGGAAGAAGGGAGCGAGGAATGCAGGGAGGGAAGGGAAGGTGGAAGGAAGGGATGGAGGAAGGAGGGAGAGAGGGAAGGAAGACAAAGGAAGGAGGGGAAGGGAAGGGAAGAAATGAGAAAGAAAGAAGGAAGAAAAAGAAAGAAAGGGAAGGGAAAGAAGACAAAGGAGGGAAGGGAAGAAGGAAGGAAAGGAAAAGAAAAAAGAAGGAAGGAAAGAAAGAAAGAGGAAAGGAAGGAAAGAAAAGAGAAAGAAAAGGAGGGAAGGGAGGAGAGAAGGGGAAGGGAGGAAGGGAAAGAAGGCGAAGGAGGGGAGAAAAGAAGGAAGGAAAAAGATAGAAAAGAAAGAAAGAAGGAAACATGGGAAAGAAAAGGAAGGAAGGAAAGAGAGGAAGGGAAAGAAGACAACAGAGACAAAGGAAGAAAGAAGGAAGGCGAAAGGGAAAAGAGGAAAAGAAGGAAGGCAGAAAAGAAACCAAAGGAAGGAAGGAAGAGGGGGAAAGAGCCAAAGAGAGGAAGAAAAGCAGCGGGCGGCTTTTCCTGGCTCCGGGCGGCGGCTGTTGCTCTGGACCCTCCCCGGCCGCCCAGGGCATAAATCCAGGTGCGCTCACCTGGCGCGCAGGTAAAGGCAGTGGCGCTCGCTTGCTTTCCCCTCGGCTCTCCTTCCTCCTTTCCCGCCATGGCCAACTCGGGCTTGCAGCTGCTGGGCTTCGTGCTGGCCCTGCTGGGCCTGATCGCCGACCTGACGGCTACCATCCTGCCCCAGTGGCGAGTCTCGTCCTTCGCCGACGGCAGCATCATCACCGCGCAGTCCTACTACCTGGGCCTCTGGATGGAGTGCGTGTGGCAGAGCACCGGGCAGCTCCAGTGCAAGGTCTACGACTCCATACTGGCCCTGGGCGGTGAGTGGGCTGGGGGGGGGGGGGGAGGGGGGAGGTCTGGAGGCCGCCCACGGGGGCCTGGGTGGGTGGCCTCGGGTGGGGGGGAGAGAGAGAAGGAGAAAGAGGCACACCTGTTGGGCCGGGCCGCGCCTTCGCCCCCGCCGTTCGCGGATTCAACCCGCCGCGGCTGCTTCGCGCCTTCGGGCGCAGCTGGCCACGCGTGGGAGGCCGGAAAAACCTCTGCGGTCGGGCGCCGCCGCCTCTCCCCGCGGGGCCCGATCGAAAGGAGAGAGAGAAAGAAAGAAAAGGGACAGAAAGAAGGGGACAGAAAAAGAGAGGGGGAGAGAAAGGGACAGAGAGAGAGAAAGGAAGAGAGGGAGAGGGAAAGAAAGAGGGAGATAGAGAAGAGAAAGAGTAAAAGAGAGAAAGAAAAAGGGACAGAAAGAGAGAAGAGAGAAAGGGACAGAAAGAGGGAGAGAGAAAGGAAGAGAGAAAGAAAGAGGGAGGGAGGGAAAGAGGGAGAGAAAGAAAGAAAGTGAAAGACGGAGAGAGAAAGAGAAAAACAGAGAGAGAAAAAGAAGGGACTCCCCCCCCTTTTTTTTTAAACAGCGGGAAGAAAAAAACGTGGGGAAGAAGGGAATTTTCTGATCGGGCGCGGTCCGGCCGAGATCGCGGCGGCTGGAGGGGCTCCCGGGGCGGGAGAGGAAGCGGGGGATTTCTTTCTTGCGGGTCGTGGGGGAGGGGGAAGCAGAGAAGCCCTCTG